CCTGCTTCTCCCTCTCCCACTCCCCCTGCTTGTGTTCCCTCTCTCGCTGTGTCTCTCTCTGTCAAATAAATAAAATCTTTTTTAAAAAATAAGATAAAATGAAATGTTGTCTTTATATGTTACAGTTTTAAGGGCATAGTCTCTGGGTTCAAATCCCAGCTCTGCCACTTTCTAGGTGCATGACCTGGGCCTATTACTTAAATTCTCTGTGTCTCAGTTTCTTAATCTGTGAAACAGAAATGACAATAACCTGCCTCATAGGATTATGAAGACCGAAGTAGCAAATACAAGGACCCTGACATTCAGTAAACACTGTGGAAACATTAGCTATTGAAGTTAGTTTCATGGCTACAAGGCTCTTTGTTAATCTTTGTGAAAACAGGAAGAGAAAACCCACAGATGAGTGAACTCAACGAGTGTATACCTAAAGGGGGATGTTAATTGCACTAAAAAATAAAGGACTAAGCTAAAGGCCAGAGTAGCTAAAGGTGCAAATGTCTTAAAAATGATGGTCAACAAGAACAATAGACCAAAATCAGTTGTGTTTCTACACACCAGCAACGAACATCTGAAGATCATGTGCCGAAAACAATTTCATTGACAATAGCATCAAAAACAAAATACTTAAGAATCCACTTCATTAACAAAGTGCAAGATTTGTACATTGAAAACTCAAAAACATAATTGAGGGAAATTAAAGAGGACCTATGTAAATGGAGAGACATCCTATGTTCGTGGGTTGAAAGACTTCATCTTGTTAAGATGATGATACTTCCTAAACTTATCTATAGATTCAGCGTGATCCCTATCCAAATCTCAGCCACTTTTTTTTTTTTTGGCAGAAATGGACAAGCTGATCAGAATTCATATGGAAATTCAAGGGACCCAGAATAACCAGAACAATTGTTACGGACTGATTTGTATCTCCACAAAAGGGTATGTACAGTCATGACCCCCAGGACTGCAGAATGTGACTTTATTTAGAGATAGGCCTTTGGAGAGGTAGTCAAGTTAAGATGATTACAAAGGTAATCATTAGGGTGGGCCCTAGTCCAATATGACTAGTGTCCTTGTAAAAAGGGACAATTCGGACACAGAGATGGATGGTACAGAAGGAAGACAATGTAAAGACTGAGGGAGAATGCCATCCATAAGCCAAGGAATGCCTGAAGCTACCAGAAACTAGAGAAGAGGCATGGATTCTCTCTTACAGTACTCAGAAGGAACCAGTCCAGCTAACACCTTGATTTCAGATTTCTAGCCTCTAAAATTGTGAGGCAATTGATTTCTATTGTTTAAGCACCCCCACCTTGTAGTCCTTTGTTATGACAACCCTAGCAAAGTAATGCAGCAATCTTGAAAAAGAAGAACAAAGTTGAAGGACTTATACTTCCCCATTTCAAAACTTACTACAAAACTGTAGTAATCAGGATAGTGTGGTATTGGCATAAGGATAGACATATAAATTAATGGAATAGAAGTGAGAGTCCAGAAATAAACCCTTACATTTATGGTCAATGATTTTCAGTAAGGGCACCAAAACAATTCAATAAGGAAAGAAAGGTTTTTTAAACAAATGATTCAGGAACAGGTGGATAACCACATGCAAAAGAATCCCTAACTTAAACCATATACAGAATTAACTTCAAATGAATCAGACCTAAATATAAGAGCTAAAACTATAAAATTCTTTGGGAAAAACATAGAGGTAAATCTGGGTGACTTTGGATTAAGCAATCCCTTCTTAGATATTACTCCAAAAGCACAAGCAACAAAAGAGAAAATAAATCAGACGTCATCAAAATGAAAGTGTTTTTTTTTTTAAAGATTTTATTTATTTATTTGAGACAGAGCACGAGAGAGGGGAGGATCAGAGGGAGAAGCAGACTCCCTGCTGAATAGGGAGCCTGATGCGGGACTAGATCCTGGGACTCCAGGATCATGTCCTGAGAGCCACCTAGGCACCCCAAAATGAAAGTTTTTTGTGTTGTAAAGGATACCATAACAAAGTGAAAAGACAACCCATGGAATGGCAAAAAAGATTTGCAAATCATATATCTGATAAGGGATTTGTATCTACAATAAATGAAAAACTTACAATTCAACCATAAAAAGACAATGCAATTTTAAAACGGGCAAAAGACTTTGAAAGACATTTCTCCAAAGAAGATATAAAAATGGCCAATAATCACATAAAAAGATGCTCAAGTCATTAGGGAAATGCAAATCAAAACCACAATGAGATACCACTTCACACCCACTAGGATGACTATAATCAAAATGAGAGCTAATGACTGTTGGCGAGGATGTGGAGTAATTGAAATCCTCATACATTGCTGGTGGGAATGTGAAATGGTGCAGCCACTTTGGAAAACGGGCAGTTCCTCAAATAATTAAACAGAGTTACTGTAGGACCCAGCAATTCCACTCCTAGGTATATAACCAAGAGAAGTTAAAACATACACTTGTACATGAATGTTCAGAGTAGGATTACCCATAATATCCAAAGAGGTAGAAACAACCCAAATATCTCTGAACTGATGAATGGATAAACAAATTGTACTGTTATCTATACAAGGCACTATTCAGTCATAAAAAAGAAGGAAGTACTGATATATGCTCCAACACAGATGAGCCTTGGAAACATCCTATTGGATGAAAGAGGTCAGACAAAAGAACCCCACACATTGTAGGATTCTACTTACTTGAAATGTCTAGGAGGTACCTGGCTGGCTCAGCTGGTGGAGCATGTGACTCTTGATCTCGGGGTTGTGAGTCTGAGCCCCACTTTGGGTGTAGAGATCGCTTGAAATGTCTAGAACAGGCAAATCCACAGATCTGACAGAAAGTACATTAGTGGTCGCCAGGGGCTGGGGGGAGGCGGGATGAGAAGTGACTGCTAACAGGTACGGGCTGCATTTTAGGGTGATGCAAATGTTCTGGAATAAGATAGTGGTGACGGTTGCACAACTTTGTGGATATACTGAAACCCACTGAATTATACGCTTTTTAAAAGGGTAAATTTTATGGTATGTAAATTACATCGCAATAAAGTTGATATTTTAAAAATTATGGTCTGCAAATGCCGGTAAAGTTGTAATAAAACCTGTAGACTCAAGTTGCTGGCCGCAGTTTAAATCGGCACAGCAATTTCACAAAGTGCTATGCGAGCGGCAATGTGTAAGAGGTGGAGAGGTCTCCGTAAGATGTATGGATTACTTTCCATAGCTAATGCTTCCACCATGGACATTTAGTAAACATCTAGTCGGCTGAGCAATGTACGGTTGTGCCCATATGGATGACAGGGGGAGTAAAGAGAATGCCTGCACCAGCGAGGAGGTGAGCAGTCCCCTGAGCCACCCAATTCCTGAGAAACATCCTTGGCTACAAAGTCCCAGGCACAGCATTCTGCACCAGGCAGGCTTGCCTGGGTCTTGGGAGCCAGCCAGGTTGGCTCTTCCTCACCGTTCAATTCATGGCTCTCAGTTGACAGTGTGGGGCCAAGGCTGCCTGCCACTGTTTCCCCTTAACGCTCTTCTGCCATTACACACACCTCCCCCCCGCACACACACACACATACTGCATACACACACCTGGCCTGGAAACTTCTACAAGCTTTTTCCTTGAATGTCAAGATTGCCTGTCATCCAACAAAAACCCAAATGTCCTTCCTGGAGAGCTATTCCAAAGGAAGAAATCAAAGGACAAAATCTATGGATGTGCAGAGGTTCACTGCCCTATTAGCTTCGGTCGTAAAAACTAGAAAGTACCCAAGTGTGGAAATTAAGGAATATTATGATGGGACCCTCCCTTTGTGGAAGGTTTTGCAGTCATTAAAGTCAATCACCGTGGGGCGCCTGGGTGGCTCAGTCGTTAAGTGTCTGCCTTCGGCTCAGGTCATAATCCCAGAGTCCTGGGATCGA